TAGACGTGTTGAATTTCTATCAATTTTTTTTTTGTAAAAATTATTTTAATACATTCGCTCTGAGCACCCGGTATTTCCATATATTTACCTTTTCGTAAAAAGTTACGTCCTCTTTCAATTTCGACTGACAGATATCATAATTGTGCAAAGTCGCCATCTATTAGAAGATCGACGGAACCATTGCTCTCACTGTTCTCGAGAGGTCGAGTAAAATTTCTGAAACAAAAGCGCATCAGTAATTACACCATATCTTACTTCCATCAATCGTTACATATAGGTACTTCTTATTGGTAATAAAGATATATTATGGAAGTGTATTTTTTTCATTCAATTTTCAAATTGTTTTTTTTTCCCAATAAAACAATATATCGGTCTATCGGTCTATCGGTTTTTGATATCGGCCGATACGATAATCGGCCAATCGGTATCGGTCGATCCCTAGTTATATTCTGTTTTGTTTTCCTCACACGATGTAACTCTTTGTGGAATTGAAATTATAGCTGTTGTCAATAGTGTTACTAATTTTTGTAAGATATGATTAAAATCCATAATAATAATTAAGGTTTCAATTTTGTTGTAATTTTTAGCAATTTTAAAAATAATACTGTCTGTAGGTTAATCGAGGAGGTGGTACATTCATTTTACTTGTTTCTTTGGGATTTTCTCTCCTCGTTTCTATAAAATAAAAGTATTCGTATTATTTCAATATATTTGTAGAAAAATAAAGGAATCCGCTTGCATTCTTCTAAACGGAGACAATAGCATTGCTTCCTGTTCAGTTGATATTGATAGAACATGGTATTCACTACTGAAAACTGAACATGAAAATGGTAGATTCAAGATCAATTAATGAAAACATCCTGTAACTCATTTGTAGACTAAAATCACTCACTCATATGCCAACATCAGTATGACACTGAAAAGTGTCAAACTATATACGCAGCACAACTTTCAAAGAAAAATAATTTGCATTTACATGTTGAGAACGGGAGCATAATCGGTCCCGAAACGTCCAAAGATAAGTACAAATTCGATATTTTTTCATATATAATACCACAAGTGATAATATTTTGCCGGAAATATTTGGTGATTGTTACGACAGCTTGTTGCCTAGTAATTTCGTGAATGACATTGTTATCAAAACTACGAGCCGTAGGCGAGTAGTTTTGGATCAATGTCATGAGCGAAATTAGAGCAGCTAGCTGGAGTATGTCAATCGACGAATATTTTCAGGAAAAATAGTATCACGAGTTGTATTCCTATGACTATTTCATGATTGAATGAGACAATATATATAAGAAATAGGAAACATAATTTAAGTATATTCTAACTCGAACTGCGAAGAAGAACATAATGATAGTAATGAAATACAGAATTTAGAAGAAAGAATTTTTTAGAAATTAACTACCAACTTATAGTTATTCACAAAGTGGAATGTACAATTTTGATAAACAGTATTTTTTCATTATCTTGGAGATGGTTGATCTCAAAAGAGTGTATACAATTACTATCCAATTCTAACAAAATAAATTGAATTTATGTGACATGGAATAATTAAAAAAAAAATTTCGTCGCCGAGGGATCGAACCATGGACCTTCGTATCCTCGCGCAACAACCCTAACAGTTGCGCCACATCAGCTAGTAATTATATCAGTCAGTCACAATAACTTGAGTAATTGAAGAAGATTACTTCAAAAAGGAATTTGAATTCTATTATTGTTGTGTCAGACTATCGACATATATGCAAACTTTTTAAATTACACATGAAACGTCCAGCCAGAATAAAATTGTCTCGCCTTTCGTACAAAATATCTCACTAACGCGAATTATAAGTAAATAAAATAAAGTAGGAACTTAGGTTATTATCTCAGATTTGAATCCAAAGCAATCTTGACCAGACACGATGTCAAAATTTTATCGCTGATAAACGAGGTTAGTTGGTCACGTGTGGGTCAATTCGGCTTCTGTATTGGTAGAGCAAGTCCGATAAAATTTAATAAACAAAAAATATCGCTAGAATACAGAAGAAACCATGAAAATGGTTGATTCTGATTGGTTCTCGAGTTCAAGAGTGGAATAGTCCTGTGAAAATTTCGTTTTCCGCATAGTTCCGAAGGAAAAAAATGTTTTCTTTAATAATGCTAACAGATATTCCTAGTAAAAGTTTAATATCATTATAATAAAAGTCTGTTAGCATTATTTAGAAAACATTTTTTCCTCGGGAACTATCGGAATACGAAATTTTCACAAGGGTAAAAAACTGAAGATAATTAATCAGTCAACTCTCTAAAAAATTTGAGAACTATTTCCACCCCTAAGAATGTTCTGAACAGAGTTTCAAAGGGTGAGGGTGGTTTCAACCCTTCTACAATTTCTTTCGGGTTTCTTTGATTACTGAAAGAAGGCTTATCCTCTAAAATACACTTTTGTTAAATTTCATCCAATTAGTTTCACTAATTTTTGAACAGCATACAAAAATGTGTTTTTTTATGTGAACTTTGAACTTGTCTCATGGACAAACGGTACAATTTTTAAATAAATAAGTTGGGTCCAATCAACTGTATTACATGTGGTATCTCTGTGACCCAGCAATTTTGGGACACCCTGTATAAGTGTATACATTAATGTTGTAAAAAAAATCACCCTCCTGGATTAACTTACAGACAGTGATTATTTCTGTATTCTTTGCAGAAAAATAGGAAAATAGATTTTATGAATGTTCCCCCAAGTCAGATCAGGATGTCAAAAATTAAAAAAAAAACTGTTTTGGAAAATTCCTGAAAATGACCTTTCCTCGATTTTCTTGAAATTTGGTTAGTTTGTTTTCAATAATGAACTACATGTGATGCTCATTCTGATGTAAATAAAATTTTTTCAATCATTCCAGTGGCGTCCTAAGGCGTAATTGAGCTGATAATAATAATATGGAATATAATGTGAAGCTCCTGCTTTTTTTTAAAGTCAACTCTGGTTATCACTCTACTAGGAATTGCAAATATGGTGAATAAGATCCATCAATTTCTAAAGTCAGATAATATTTGCTCTGGAATCAATCTCCAGAAATTCCAAAAAAAATCCTGTCTCTATCCTCTCTAGGAACGCACGATATTATTTGAACATTATAGGAATTTCCTTTCTTGAGCTCCAAGGGATAAAAAAAAATCTTTAGTCAATACTTACTATATTAGGTACATTCTGCTACTGCTTTTGGAACTAATTTGGATTTGAAATAATCCCAAATCCTCCAGTAAATAATATAATTATTATGTGGTCAGAAATGCACTAGTTTCACAATCTAGGACTATGCTTTAGATAGCAGTAATTAGTATATTCCCTTATTAGAATAAAAAAATGAAACCTTGGTATCAATCAAGGTCTCAACCTTGGTGTCAACTGATGATGATGATGATGATGATTATTTAAATTACTTTTTCAACATCTGCTTCCCAATCTGGCTATTCATTCTCAGTCTTGTTTACATTTTCTTAAGATTTCCATATCTATTGATTTGAGTATGATTTCAGTAATTCTATGATGATCTGTTTGATTAATATTGAGAAATTTTTGAAATATATTCAATGTTGCCATCACCTTCCTTTGTACCTTGTATAGTGTATACCTACCTGCCTCATAAAAATGTACAGAATCATGCCCTTTAAATTTCTTGGGGATTCCGTTTTATTGTTGCTCTGATGATGTAGAGTTAAATTTGTCATTTTTCTTACAACATTCATTTTCAATTAGTCACTTTTTTATGAGTTGGGATTTGGGTTCAACACAGTTTCAAGAAATACAGAAATATCATGTAGGTTTACAATTTTGAATGAATGCATTGGGGCCCATAGGCATTCACAATAAATTTTACATGACTAGAATAAAGCCAACAAGTTTATAATTTTCACAAACACACAATTGACCTAACAAAATTTTGGTTTCCAGTTGCCTTTATGGAGTATCTATATGGAGATCTATATAGACTTGGTTCAAAACCATATTGACACATCCAAGACACTATTGCAACTTGAGTATATCAAGAGGGTCATTAGGATATCAATGAATTCTACAAAGCTCTTCTGAATGTCAAATTGTATTATGCAATGGCCTTATAATATCATCTCAAAAAACTTTTGATATGATTTAATATGTGAATCAGCCATTTTCAGAGCATTCATAAAACATAGACTTATTGATTGCTCTCATAATATATCCTACTGAGTCTCATTTCTGCTTTTGAGCATTTATGTTACATACGAATAAAAAAAAAAATTCAAAATGATAAATGTATCAACTTTCATGAGAGGTGTTGCCTTCTGTTATAGAAGCAAATTAAAAAATTGGGTAAAATTTAGTTATACAGTCATGAATTTGATTGATTGATACTTAAATGAGTGTTTCACAGGGTAGATCACTATAGTCTATTATGAAAATGGATGTGTATCAAATCTTGAACAACCTATGTAGGATTCAAGTAGGAAAAGCAAGAGGAAAAGGCATATTGTTCAACATTTATCAACAATTTTGAAAGTCAATGACCCTATCTACAGACAAGTTCGGTGTTCAGTGCATACCAAACTAAATACACCAAGAAAAACACATTCAAGTGCAGTGCACATTGCAATTGTCCAGGCAATTGCACTACAATTTCAGCTAAATATGTGATAATATTCAATGAATATATTAGTTCCAAACTGTGAAAAATAATAATTTAGGTAGGTACCTACCTACCTATTCTAATGTGAGTTCAAATGCTGAATTGCTGAAGTAAGATTCAAATAAATATGTGTAGGAGTGTATGATTGATAACCAATACACAAAATAAATGATGATGTAATTTGTCACAAGCAGAATTATTATCATGCTTCTGAAATAATTTCCAAAACTTTAGATACATATAGGTACACTAGTTTAATCAATAATAGAAAATGAATTTTGTCAGTGTCAATAGACATAATAGATTTGCAAGGCCACTGACAAGGTAATGCAAAGAAATGCAACTCACCAGTGCTGGTGAACTCATCAGGGGTTCTACCCCCGGCCATAAGCCATTTACACCAATCTATTGTCTCCCATTCATCAATTGCCTTTTGGGGGTTCAGAAGATTGTCCAGCACTTCACTCAGATGCTGGGGGTTCCTCTCCTTGGAGCAGTCAGCATGAATATATGCTGCAGTGGCCCTTTTACCTTTTGACATCAAAACTTTGGCTTCAAAGCTGGACGTTGAGGCCATTGTTCGGGGCATTGTGGAAATTAAAATGTCATGTCATATGAAAATTTCACGAAAAATCTATCAAATTGACGTCCGAAACGAAAAACAAATCACTGATTACTTCACATATCACAACACGCTAGATCGTTGTGCGATAATCGTTGACCAACTTGACAAGCAAAGCAAGGCATTAAAAAATACAAGAAAAGGAGATGACGTTCCACTGTTTTCAAAAATTATATACAGTATGGACTTCTCTTTGCAATTCTACACGTGAACGTCGTGAACAAATAAAGTGCTAGTCATCAACAACCTCGTCAACAACTATCATAATATTCTTCCGAAAATTTGAAGAACCTCGTCGAGCCAGCTACACGAGCGGAGCGAGAGTAGAGGGCAAATAAGTTCATTGGTTCATTCATACTGTACTTCAATTTCATATCAGATAGAAAATAATGCAATTCAAAATTCTAATCATCAAATATCGAATATCTTGAACTTCAGAGGTGATATTAAACATCAGCCCATCTAAAATTAGTCATGTTGATATTTCAGAAAGATCGAAACTGGAAACTTTCACAAATCACAAAAATGTAAACTCAAGCTCAAGCTCAAGATCGTGAATATCTTCAACATCAACATAAAGATTAATAAACTAGATAGCCCAGCCCCGACAGTTGAATTGCATGTCATTTGTCAGATGATCATCGTAACGTCAATGTGTCTGCTCGATGGGCTGCAATCTGCAATGAGGGCTACATTTTCACTCCCACCTCTACTGGTTGGAAAACATGTGGTCAATGTCAAATTCGAAAATCCGAAAATGTTGCATAGAAGCTAGCATGTTTTATCGAAAATATCTGGAAAAAATGATCTAGAATATATGGACAAATAGGAAACCCCAAGTTATCGAAAGATGTGAAACGTCTTACGTTGTTTTTCACTCTCAATGTGGAACTTTACTTTGGAACTTAAGTTGTTTTTTCTTGTTGAACCTTGAACCGTGTTTAAAACGATTTGAAATCAAGCATTTTCTTGAGCAAGTTATGACGTCACCAAGTAATACGGTTCATTGCGGTTCAAAAACTTCTAAATGAACGGTTCGAACCGTGTTCGAACCAGGAAAACCAGTGGAGGAGTGGGAAAACGTCGAAGTTTTAGGTTATAAATATTATTTTTGAGAAATTGACTATATAGCTTAAAAAATGGAGTGTGATGAGGGTATGGTGCATAATTTTCCACTTTAAGATGCTGGAAATTTTCGAGAAGAATAATCATTTCCAGATTATTATCTATTTCTCTGGACTGGTTCAACATTTGTGAAAGACAAACACCGTGCCTCATCTGCTGATTATCAATTAAAAAATACACTATTAGTGATTCCATTCTTTTACACTTCTCAAGTTCTCACAGATAATCATCAATTTTAAAATTCAATTATTGATTTCGGTTTCCAGGTTATGTGTTATGTATCTGACTTATGACAGCTTCAATTTCGAAATAGTCTGTTTTCTTGAATGAGATAAATCACTACGTCACGCTTGAAAACGGTTCAAAAGTAATCTTGAACACGGTTCAACAAGAAAAAACATCTTTAACATTTATCAGTTCTACCAACCATGCTTCGGTGGCGGGGTTTGGTGAACGAACAATAAATGTTAGCCCTCAATTACCTTGCTGCATTCCACTGCATTACGGCTGCATCACCAAATTTTTGTGAAATCTCTTTTCCACAATTAGATCGGGACTAATTAATGATAGAACCATAAAAGAGTTATAATAATTAGATTTGTACTGATTCATTTCAGAAAATTCATAATGAAACAAACGACTGGGCAGTCAAGGCTATTCAGTCACGTCTGAAATTATCAGGCCGCCTGTCTAGTTTATCAATCTTGATTTACATTATTGCCATTGATGAATTCATATGCACTAGAGTCACTGGATGTTATTAGTTTGATAAGAGTTCGGACACAGAAATGACAACGGTTAGGGTTTTTGAATGTTTAGATTTATTAAGTTTCACACCTTGCATTGTGACAAGAGCACCATAGTCGTCCCGCGCTTTTTCATTCGAAATTGTTTGAATTTGACAATACATTATTTTATAAACGTCAGAATTGAAATAAAATTTCATAATTATACATTCGAGATGAAAGCAGCTATGCAAATTACTTGCTGTGTGATAAATTGTGCCAATTCTGAAGAAAATGGATATCATTTATTCAATTTTCCGAAACAAATATCAACCAGTCGCTTATGAAAGGAAGATATGAAATGGACTGATGCCTGATGGGTGCAAAATCAATTTGAAGACGAGCGAAATTTGTGAGGTACTCATTAAAATTCACTTTTTATAACAGCATCTGATTAAAATGAAACTATATTTTAGGCCCATCTTCAAACAGAAGATTTCAAAATCTGTGAGAATCTGCTGTTCCATCAATAATTTACAAAGCAAGCAATATCGAGAACAAAATTCCATTATTATCATCACACAAAATACAAAACGAGATGATCATGGAAAAGAGGAAATGATCGAAAAATTACATAATGAAATTGAGAATTTGTAAACGAAACTAAGAAGAGCAAGTAAACTACAGAGTGATATATTATTGAATGGCGTTTTTGGTTCCGACCAAATTTAAAATTCAACAGTGAAAAGTGAATAGTTATTTATGTATCAAGGGAATTATAATGAGGGCCTTAATTACGCTGGAGGTTAATGTTTTGGAGATATTTTCTATATCGATCCATGTTACTTATTAGCTCCTAGGGCGCTAAGTGGAGTTGCTGAGAACTTTACAAAACCAAGTATTTGGTAGGTCTCGTCAAAATAAACTACTTTTTTCCTATCGAATGTTTATCGAAAAATGATTTGTTCTCTGTATTTCAGCACTCTGTATCTACAAAATGGAGCATTTCCGGACACAAAAGCTTATATAGGCTTTATTTCTTATAATTGTCTCAGGAATACTTCACTTGAAAGTACTTATCTTACTTCCTGTATATTGAGAATATCTACCTTTAATATAATATAAATAACTTCATGTTTTATACTCATCACTGGAGTACAGTTTGACATATAATAAGGAATTATAGCTATAAGTTTATCCATATGTGTATATTTTTCAATATTCAAATGTTGTTACATGCATTCTTTTCATTTATATAACAGTTGGTTCTGATGTTAGAAGTGTATCACTATAAATTTAAGTGGGTGTTTGTACCCTATACCCATTGTCCATCTACGGCTATGATTGATTTGACAGAAAATATAACCTCTGAAATCGTATCTGACAATCAGGCACTACTAGGGAAATTGAAAAGACAAAGAGGAGAATATATGTCTTATTCTTTTATTCACCTAAACCATTGTATTATAGAAAATAGAAAAGGACAAAAGTTCAGCTGTGTCCGAACTCTTATCAAACTAATACCATCCAGTGACTCTAATATGCACATGACTTCATCCACACTCGAATTTATAGAAAAAATAAAAATCGGGCAATGGCAAAGATGCAACAATCCGTTTATTGAGATTTTGTGAATCTTATACGTTACGTCTCTATTTTCCACGATGTTCTCTTGATTAAAGTTAGTTAAATTTTGTAGGGACCAAGACAATTCATGTCCATCTGAATCATTGGATGCTCCAAAAGTCAACGATCAACAGGTGCAGCGAGAGAGAATACTTCAGAGTAGGGATGGCGATTATGAATCGATTTCTCCGAAGATCGATCTTTTCGTCTAAACAAATCGATTTTTTTAGACCGATCTTCTTCTGTTCGATCTCTAGGTGAATCGATTTTTTTTTCACATAAAATCGAATCTCGCGAACAAGTATGCACACTGAATAACATAACAATATTTGACTATAATGAGGAACAAGTTTAGAGCTATCCAAATAAAATGAGGATTTATTGATGTTCTTTCAAAATAGTTGGTAATTTGTGATCATTTAATGATCATATTTTCAGGAGTCAAGAACTTTTTCACACTTCTTCATGTATATTGTTGAACATTTTCTATGATCTAATATAGATGATCGATTTTACTGATGTATGCCTTCAATCACGTCTTTTATTAAGGAAAAGCTTGCAGTTACATATTGTCAAGATATTGTCGACGAATTCGTTATTAATTTCATCACTCAATGCATCATAATCAAGACCTTTGATTTGAAGAATCACTTTATGCCTCTACACCTTTTTCAATTGTAATTCAGAAAGTATAACTTGTAATTCAGATTAGTAAAATGTAAGTCAGAAAGTGTAATTTGTAATTCAGAATAGTTAGTTGTAATTCAGAAAGCGTCAATTGTAATTCAGATTTATCAATTGTAATTCAGAATACATAACATGTAATTCAGATTAGTGAAAGGTAATTCAGAAAGTGTAACTTGTAATTCAGAATAGTCAATTATAATTCATAAAGCGTGATTTGTAATTCAGAAAGCATCAATTGTAATTCATAAACACTATGGAATTAAATAAGGCTAAGAAATAGAAATAAACAAATGGTTCATTGTGAGGTGAACAACACTATGGACTTGAATAAGGCTAGGAAATAGGAATAAACGAATCGTTCATTGTGTGGTCAACATCAATATTTTATATTTATCAACCAACGGGCATATCTTGAAATGCCAGAGCTGCAGCATGGTGAATGGTGGTGTGTTGTACAGCCCTAGCACAATCTCCTCCAACAATTGTATCTTTGGCCTGGTCAGTATTCTGTTCTATGTAGATAAACAAATCGTTGTTCTCCAACACCCGGACCTCAAGGAGAATGGATGCATATGGGCTGTTTCTAGTTTCTGAATCATAAGTGATACTTTCTGAATTACAAGTTATGCTTTCTGAATTACAATTGACGGTTTCTGAATTACATTTCACTATTCTGAATTACAAGTTACACTTTCTGAATTACATTTCACTAATCTGAATTACATATTACGCTTTCTGAATTACAATTGACTAATCTGAATTTCAAGTTATACTTTCTGAATTACAATTAACTATTCTGAATTACAATTTATACTTTCTGAATTACATCTTATACTTTCTGAATTACAATTGAAAAAGGTGTAGTCCGTCTCGTTTTGTTACTAACACAGCTACCTGAGGCAACAGTGTAAATTTGGATGCATTAGTAAGTCCACAAAATCTGGAGGGTTCAATATTATTTATTTATTAAATCATCTTTTATTGTTGAGCTTTGTAAGCAGTCGGTGGGATTGGTGGGAAAGGGAAAACATAATTCATAGAAATAATCCATACTCAAAGTGGTCCAAAATGTATATTCAAAGAAAATAAATACTCATAGTCAGTCGACTACACTTCATGTTAAAGTTGTTCAATTAAAAAGTAACCGGTTTCGGCACAACTGCCATCTTCAGAGTGCAGTACCTAAAATACATGATGAATGTATAGAATTGTAAAAAATAATTGTCATTGGAAAAACAAACGTTATAATGACACAATAAATCATAAGAAGTTGAAACATCATTTTGGTTTGACCATCAAGGTAAGTCAGGTGGAAATAAGTTTAAAGCGGCTGAAGGTCCAGAAAAATCTGGTCCTGATGAGGTTGAACATTGAAAAATCAAGTTTTTTTGAAAGTTCAAATCGTCATAATGTTGACTGGAAAAAATTCAGAGAATGAAATAATAAAAATTGACGCGACATGACAAGCTGTCAAAGTCAAGCTGACACGAGTAACCAACATCATAAAACATGACATGGTATATGACAGACAGACTAAATATCACCAACCTAAAAAAATGTTCAAGACAACCGTGTAATGTGCAGAAGATATGATTGCGTTCAAAATTTGTTTGATCATTAAGGCAAGAAAATTTTGGTTGTTGCATTTTTCAATTTCAAGGGTTTCCGGGAGATTAGGTCTCTTTAGCACCTTCATCACAAATATGAAGAATATCAGGATTGTTAAAAACATCGAAACATCTACCTGTTTGACCAATCTAAGTGGCATTACAATCGGTCGACTGACTTTGAGTATTTATTTTCATTGAAAATATAATTATTATACTCTATATTTCACTTTAATTAAATTTAAAATTAATATACACTATTAAAAATTCAAAGAAGTTAACAATTAAATATTTTCTGGAGGATGCATGATAAAATGATTCAAGACATAGGAGGGGCCTCGCTAAAATACGGAGCAGAAGATTTGACTAGTAACGTATGGCAGACATCACAAACTTTCGACGGACGATTGTGGGGCCCTGACAGCACGGTTCGCGTCAGGCACGACTGACAGAACACCTGACCGCAGTGCCGGCAATGCTGTTTTCGCTTCGACGTGGAAAAGGAGGACCGACATGTTGGACAATCATTCACATCTTCTTCGTGTTGCCATCTCACCTCTGTGTCTGACTCGCGAATTTTTTCCAGCTGCACCTGTAGGCGAATATGATCCAGGACAAAATTACGATTTTTGTAATCACAATAAAAGTGCATGTTTAAAAAAATTACCGCAGCGCATGTCACGATTGTATGCAAAGTAGTTTATCGTGATACAAGTAACACGAAATATAAGTCTGCGAAAAGCTTACGTTAAATAATTGTTCAAAAATAACCTCCTATTCCTCACATGTTCAGTTAATAGTTTCGGGTCGTTCTACACGAGGACAGAGTATGCAATTTTTTTCGCGGTTATCATTGTTTTGAAATTTCAACAAGCACCAATTTTCAATGCAAATTCAAATTTGATTGGTGACGCCGCTGCATGCGAGCACAAATTGATAATTGTCTAAGACATGAAATTTTGAATTGACTCGGCCGTTACTTGATGGAAATCCATAGCAAATGTAAAAACTTCACAAACGAAAAGATTTCCACAACATTCTGAATCACATGACATGTTTCGCTAGCACAATAGCTTCATAATATGTATTTGCTACCAACCCTATTTTCCGGAAATGAACCTTCCAAAGGTAATTCTAATCCTTCAGGTTGGGAAAGTAGGATATATAAAAAGGCAAGCCAAGGTTAGTTTATTTCATTGATGAAGCTGGGGTGTTACTTGAAAGTTGCATACATTAAAAAAACATTGCAAAAAATCTGTCGTCACTACCGGCCAGTTTATTGAATCGGCACTATTGCTAGACATAGCTACAGTATCAGTTATGCGGACAAACTAGTAGTTATGTGGACAAACTAGTAGATTTTTTTCCGTTGATTATGTTGGAAATATCAAGCGTTTTCAGCACACTCAGTATGTCACTTGTTTTTGAAGTTGTTGATAATAACGTCAGAATTATTATTGAATTATTTGTATATACCCTGAATTATACTCGTTAAAACAACAGGTTATGGGCCCAGGACATATCTAAAAATTAGATCTGCAAGATATTACATTGGAAAAATGAGTAGAAGTCAGATGAAAATTGAAACCCTGGGGAAAGATAACTATGATATCTGGAAGCTGCAGGTAGTATCAGTATTAGTGAAAAACAAGTTTTGGGGATATGTAGATGGATCTTTTGCCAAACCAAATGCTGAGGATTGAGGTTTGGCAATAGATCCATCTACATATCCCCAAAACTCGTTTTTCACCAATACATTGATGAAATCAAAAGGAAAATCAAACATCGCGTTCACGAGTTATTTCAAAAGGTTTTATTTTTTAATGGGACACCAAGTTTACAATATCTTTAACCGACAGGAAATTCAGAACAAAAATTGACCCATAATATTTTATCCTAAATTCAAAAATGACTGAGCTCTCGATGATTTTTCAAATTTGTCAAAGTGATTGTGTTTCCTATTCTGTTAGTGAAGGATGGTCAAGAATCTATGGTCGAGGTAGGTATAACTAGAGTGACTTTACGACGACAATAGTGGTACACTTGTTGATTGGTCAGACCTTTTATATGGAGGTACATCCACCTGTCTTATTTTCTTCATTCAGTTCTACGTATTCTATTTCACTTTGTCAATGTTTTGTTTGTTTTTTACTCTTTGGACACAAAACATCCAACATTCAGACATTAAACTCTATACGTCAGTACCTTGGATATCAACTGTAAAAATCTGTCTATTGGGTCTCAGATTATTCAGATGATAAAATAAAAATATCAAATATGTGAACCTAACATCAAAGGAGCACTTCGAAGGCACAAATGTATTACTGAATGGGAGAAACTCTACAGATTTTCAGCTATTCAGTGACTTGACCACAAATGAGATTCCGGAAACGGCAGCCATTATTTAATCTACTCACTCTAGGTATAACTTTGCCTTAACATGAAGTAAAAAAGAAATCGTCGATAGCTTATATTTCGTCATATTTTTTTGATTTGGGGTAAAAGTTTATAATGTAGTTCTCGTTCAGAATCGAATTTTCTATCTTGGCAATTTTGTATACGGATGTCCCATTCAAAGAAATCGAACTTTTTATCATAACTCGTGAACGCGATGTTCGATTTTTGTTTAGTTTTCATCACTGTAATCAGCGAAAAAATACTACTAGTTTGTCCATTTAACAGACTTTGTAGCTTCAATAGCAACCAATTTTAGCAGTAGTGCCGACGTTTGGAAACTCTGGTAACTATACCCATTATTAAGATGATCCAGCCACGTAAAAACTTTGGGCAATGAAGTACCTATATAGTCACTTCAAATTTAAAAAAAATGTTTTTCAATAACCAGTTCACTCTTCAAACAAGGCCGATGAATTGATTTTCGAAATTAATTAAATATATATCCGTCAAAATATCATCAGTGAAAAATAAATGGTGGTGGTAGTAGTAGTAGTATTCATCAATGTTTCATATATTAACACAAAATGTCCTACCTGTAAACTTTGAGATAATCTAACAAAATCCTTTTGAACAGTCTCTGTTGTGTCGAATTCTTGTTGTAGAGAAGACACTCTCAATTTCAATTCATTATTTTTCTTTTCCAAGGTTTTCTACAAAGCAAATTCATTTACTTATTCATGAACGTATATTTCTTCAACTTACAGACGATGTCGTTAGTTCTTCAATTTTATCTTGATATTCTTTGATCTTTTCTTGGGTCTGACTTTCACTTGCAACAAGTTTCTCTTGATTTAAAGCTAAGTGTTTCTTCTCTTTGGTTAATTGGTCAATCTGTTTCCTAAAAAAACAGTTGACATCGATCATTTGAACTTACTAAGTGAAGTAAAAATCCCCACCTCAAATTTCTGGTTTCCGAATCGAAAGTATCTTCTATTCCTTTCCTCTCGTGCTGTTCATTAGTAATTCTATCTTTCAAAACCATTATTTCGGATTGAAGTGTGTTCAAATTTTCTTCAGCTGCCTCCTTTCCCATCTTAGCTATAATTAAGTCTTGATGGTTCCTCAAAATGAGTTCATGAAGTTCCTATTGAATATATTCATACAAAATACACTCGTCTTCAGTGAACATGGCACGGTTAGACGGTATGAGCGCTCTTATTGCAGCGGTGATTGAGAGAGTCGATACAGTCCATGTGCGACATGTTCTCTGAAGACAACTGTACATGGAGATGTCTATCAATATACAGAGTGTTTCTAAAAGGTATTTACAAAAAGTCACCACATATTTCCTCACACCGCTTTTTCATTAATCTGTTGCTTTCATTAACTGTCATTAAAGTTTAATTTTATTTAAGGACTATGAAATTTTTATGCAACACCTTTATTCTTGATCTTCTTGATCAAAAAATGGTCCTCAGGGTACTTAGCCCGATGAAAATATTTGTGTTATTACATTCAGCGATCACATACTTACAATAGGAATCATTCATTCATATTGTTTTCAGAGTCTAATTTGAACATACGACTAGAATTTTCAGAATTTTCAGCCACATTCTGGAAAAAGGACAGGAAGAAATTGTTTGTCAGACTTATGACAGAATCGCGCCTGCGCAAGTCACAGTTTTATTTGAATTTGTCGTTAAGAGATGAAAGTTGGTCATCTTTTAGTGAATAGTTATTGAAAGATAAATTCAATTTAGGTGCATAAATGAATGAACGGGAATACCAAGTTTTACCTTATTAGTGAAATTGTTAATGATTGAGAAATTACAGATTAATGAAACAGCAGTGTGCATAGTTGCTGAGTTTGGGCGCTAGACGGCTCTGATGTTACAATTTTAAATTTTTTTTGCGTCATAACTCTGAAACGGCTCATGAGATTTTTCTCAAATTTGGCGTTGATAACCTCCGCGCCGCGAGACCTACCTACAGGGTTTTTAGTATGTAAGTATTTTTTATTTGTAATATCTTGTACGTTCATCTATTGATACATGTTAAAATTAGGATTTAATTCATACCATTGTTCGTTTGTAAATGTTTTCTGCAATCGACTCAAAAATCGTAAATTTTCTTCCAAAATTAGCTCTTGAAGTAGACGTTTCTCTTACTGACACAATAAAATGATAAGTATGTATGTTGCTATGCAACACTTTTAGTATCTAGGAGCTAAAGTTGAAGTTTAACTCCTAGGAACTAAAGGTGTGTCGGATGACAGCTGATATGATAGCTGCTTTGAAACTGACATGCTCAATTGAGTCAAAATAGTGGTAACGTCATTCATATTTTATTCATTAGATATCAATTATTTCCATTGCAGAAAAAATAGATTGTTCCATTCGGATAAAAAGTGACTCTGTTTGACACGCAAAATTTGCGTGCTCGGCTTCGCGGTCACTCCGCCTCGCAAACGCAAAAACCGCTTGTCAAACAGAGTGTCACATTTGATCCTAATAAAATAATGTACTATTAATATGTGAATGGATAGATTTCAATCGGTATAGACATAGTTTTATTGAAAAATGAAGCCCATGTCATGATTGTGATGGTGTAGCAGGATCATCGAACTTTGGAATAAGTGAATGGTAAGGTATCCTAGGAATAATAGTCATCAGTTCTACCAACCTTGGGCTATATTCCAAATTCAACTGGTCAGTACTGTCAGTAGATCCAGTGACTCTGCTGAAAATCTGTGTTCCGAAATATAAAATCAAAAATACAGTACTGTAATTCGGAATACGTTTTCATGGTTTCCATCAGTAGTCAGCAGCAGTTGATCAGCTGGTGAAATTTGTCAGCCTCCATAGTTTCTACGATTGTTGACGATGACGATTCAAGATCGAGTGATGAAGAATACTTGGACATTTTGTTGCCATCAATATTTCATGATGCACCAGATTGAGAATTGAAAGATTCATGGAAAACGTGATAAGGCATTAATGATGATGAATTTAGGAGACATTTCTGGTTCTGGTTTATTTAGTAAATTATTTAGCCAATGCTGCTTTTTCTTTCGTTAGGTCTACTAGTTTATACTTCATATTATTCTCAGCGATTATTATTTCAAAAACAGGTATTTCCTTATATTGAAAATAATATTATTAACAACGGAAATAAATGTTACATTCCTTCCTCCTCTAAAATAATGACAGTTCAATGAAGCCACACTACCTTTTGATACTCAGCAATTTCAGCAGAATGTTGAGTCGAAATATTTGGAATGAATAGTATGTCTGCTCACAAGCATCTGTCACTTTCAGTGAAATTCCTGATTTTGGAATGAAAAATCAGCAGATTCAGTTGAATTCGGAATATAGCCTGTGTATCGTTAGTCGGTTTTGTTGAGTGATGTCATCAGAACAATTTGGTAGCCTTTTGGGGATAATATTAAGACTGTTATCTGAAAGATATACAACTGATAGCCCTGGTATCAGGTAAGTGATTCTCATGACCTCTGTTCATTGCTCATCGATTCCCCTATTCAAATTGTCAAGCGTGGTGGAGTAGGTATTTGAAATATGTTTCGTTTTCAGAATGTTCACTGATTCGTTAATCCACATGTGAATAAACGTATTTGAGTAACGACCGTGCATTTCCTTGAAGACCTTTACAATGGATATAATTCCATGGGCGAAGAAACATGATATTATCAGTAGATAAACATCTGAATCTTCTACGCGATTGGAAAGAAAAGGGTTTGAATATGAGATTTCAATTGCGCAACTTGAACCTGAAGCACCCTGCATGAAAAACTAACCTCAACAGTATTTGGAAGATTTATAATTTGACTCTGCAGTTCCTGTGAATGAATGGTATACTTTCCCACTAAATTATCGTTTTCTCTCTGCAATCTGGAAACGATGGCACTTAGAAAAGCAAAATTTCAAGGGTGTTGGCTACTCACTTGTAGAGCTCCTGGTGAATGGTCTCTCTATCGTGAGTCAACTTCCCCAAAGTCATTTTCATATCGGAACAGGTTTGATTGAACGAATGCCGCAACTCCTTCAAATCTTGCTCCGTACATTCGGTGGCCCTAGTGAGTTCGGCAACCTGATTGCAATAATTAGATTATAGACCATTTTGGAGGTTCATTTTGGATAAGGATGAGGTATGGGGTACAAATTAAATGACCAAAATGGATGGGAAAATCATATCATGATGACATATTCATACATCACCCTTAAATTGGTCTCATTTTATTTGTCAACAGTAAAAACACAAGAGCTTATTTTTATCGGATAAATTTCTCTTGGTAACGAATAGTAGATTGTTTTATTAGGATGTAGGATCAAAAGTGACACTTTGTTTGACAAGCGAATTTTGCATTTGCCAGGCGGAGCGTTTAGCGAAGCCGAGCGAAAGCAAAATTTGCTCTGCCAGGGATTCGAACCTAGTGACCTTTCGATGTTCCTTCTACTATTTCATGGTATCTACATGAACTTATCGAAAACCTGGATTCAGACAGACTCAACAGTTCATCTCAACCCAATGTGTCGATCACTCCATGAGGTTGATGCTATTGTCAATAATCGTGTTGTGAAGTTCCCTCAGGCAGCTCATGCAATTTTCAACATAAAAACGACAATTTTGTTCCCTGGAAGACGAGATACTGACCATATTATTTGATAAATATAACATAACATTACCTTCTTTTCAACTTCTAACGAGTTTCGCGCGTTTTCAGCCACAGAACATCAACATACTGTTTGTCAATGTATCGTTAAGGTAACGATATCGTATTCTAACGATAAGTTACTGAATAGACCCCTAAATCAGTATAACACCGAATGATTGGCTACAATTACGAATTATTGCTATTGGTTGAAACAACGAAAACGTCACATTTTGACATGTGAATAAGATAATCCCTTCAAAAATCATCAAACCGCCCACCCACCTGCAGCTTGTGCTCCTCCCTCTTCTCGTGCCACTTCTCCTCCATCTCCTTCCGGAAGCCGATCTCCTTGAGCAGCTCCTCGCGGTGGCGGTCTGCCGCCTTCTCGGCAGCCGCCACCGCCGTCTCCAAGTCGCTGGTCTTCTTCTGCTCTTTCACCAGTTCCGCCTCGTAGTTGCTGCACATGTCGCACATGGAGGGGCGGTCCGAGGGGAAGGGGGCCGGCCTCAGGTCAGGCGGCTGCGAAGCTGCGCCCTGGAAACGAGCCGGAAATGCCTTGGTTTTACCGCGGGTGAGATAGAGTAGGCCCTGGTTATAGTCTCGCTCGTGAACCTTTTATACCGGGTGACACAGGAGACATGTAACAGTCTGTACTATTTTTATTTGAAGAGATGAAAGTTTGAAATTCACAAGGGTTATATTATCGATGATGGCGCTTCTCAATAACTCAATAACAATTTTATTCAACCACCTGGTTGATCAGAAATAGACCCAACTTTGTTTTTCCAAATAGCACCCTATATATTTCTGTAGCCTTTCTTATTCGCCTTGAAATTTTCTGTTCAACAATTTATCACAATTTGATATTTGTTCATCAATTGGGTGTTAAATTGCATTTTATTGAAATACATGAAGTTGCTATAGGGCCAAGTTAACCAAGTTTTATTTCTAACGCAATTGAACGAATTAGGACTGGAGGGCATGTGGTTTCAACAGGACGGAGCACAGCCACAACCGATATTCTGAAGGTGGCGTTCCCGGATAGTCTCATCTCTCGTTTTGTCGATTTGCACTGGCCCGCAGATCTCCCGATTTAACCGTTCCTGGCCTTTGTCCCGTGTTTACGTGAACAAGCCCGGAGTCAAACATCGGATGACTTCTTTTGGCCCATCTTGTACATACCAACTTGATATCGACCTCCATTGAGGTCCTTCAGCCTTATCATTCAATATTTCGACAAGAAATAATTTTCTAATTAATTTATCGTACCCCTTTACCCACTCGAGGAGACGCTATGCACTCGCATACAAAAATCAAAGACAGAGAAAGATATATGGATGTACAGTGTGTCCAGTTTTCGATGCTTTTGCATGATATCTCAGTTATCTTTGGAGATAGAACCTTGCGGTTTTCGCGGTCCTGTGCCACTTTTTTGTGAAACTCAAGATGGCTTAATCAGATTTTGCAGGACTGTTTCCGTTTATGAGATACAGGGCGATTTTGAAAATTTATACTTTTTGGACCCCCTCTATATCTACGAAGTTCATCAGCGAAAATGTCAAATCAAAATCTTAACCCATAGAGAATTAAATGCAGAATCCAGTGGCGCACAAAAAAATTTTTGTTCGGGGTGTGGTTTTGAAAATACGACTCAAACTTATGATTTTTTAAATTGAACACCCTGTATTTTATGAGCTCATTAAATTACTTATTTTTTTTCCTTCGAAATGATATATGATGTATGAATATAACATTTTCAAAAATGTTCAAAAATCACTAAAACATTGAATTTCAATAGTGGGCTATGGGGTTTTCGAGGGATTTTCATATAAAGAAATTTACAATTGAAGGAATATTTCCTTTGATTGTTCCATGAAGGGGGAAATAACAATTTCAACACTAATTAACTTGCAATACACAAGACTTAGATACCTGATATCCACAAATATATAGTAATAACAAGTTTATAATACAGAATAAGCACCTGATTGAATATTTACTAAAACAATTGAATTTCGAAATTATTCAGTGATTTATTCATTGAATTGTTCAAATTGATGTCCATTTTCCATCACAAACTTTCTCAATACATATTAATCATTGAAAGATGTCTTTGTAATTCCTGGAAAACTGCCTCTGTTGTTGCACAAAGTTCTTCAAGTATGTTGGGCCACTCACTGTATTATGAATTATTTAAGTTTGTCAACTGTATGTTGGATATCAATTCGAACATGTCAATGAATAAGTTACTGAATAATTCCGGAATTCAATTATTTTAGTAAATATTTAATCAGGTGCTTATTCTACATTATGAGCTTTTTATTACTATTTATTTGTTGCTATCAGGTACCCAAGTTTAGTGTATTGTTAATTAATAAGTGTTGATATTGGTTTTGACCTCTCCATGGAAAAATTTGAAGAAATATTTCTTCAACTGGAACGTTTTTTATAAGAAAAATCAATAACCAACTATCAAAATTCAATATTTTAGTGATTTTGAGCAATTTTGAAAATTTTATATTCAGTCTTCATATATCATTTTGAAGACAAGAAAATAAGGAATTTAATGAGCTCATGAAATACAGGGTGTTCCATTTAAAAAATCATAAGTTTGAGTCGTATCTCCAAAACCAGACCCCGAAAAAAAAATTTAAGTGCGCCACTGGATTATGCGTGAAATTCTCTATGCGATAAGATTTTGATTTGACATTTTTGTTGAGAAACTTCGTGGATATAGAGGGGGTGCAAAAAGTATAAATTTTCAAAATCGCCCTGTATCTCATAAACGGAAACAGTCTTGCAAAATCTGATTAGGCCATCTTGAGTTTCACAAAAAAGTGGCACATGACCGCGAAAACCGTAAGGTTCTATCTCCAAAGATAACTGAGATATCAGGAAAAAACATCGAAAACTGGACACACTGTACTCTTCCCAGGACTTGTGAAGGAAGGAAGATGGGAGGATCCTTTATCTAAGCGGAAAACATATTCTTGTCCTTGTCTGGCAAAACATATGATTTGCTTCAAAACCGTTTGTGGTTATGTTTGATTGTCACTGCTTGTCTAGTATCCGTACTCTAATATACAAAAAACGTCAAAACAGCAGTGTCAAGTACATTTAGGAATTCTAGTTTACTCTAGCTGTGTTTCAAAACTCCTTGCTGACCGAGCATGTGATCGAAATAGAACAAAAGCCCTTTTATTCGCAAAGAGGTGTGGATGTTCATAATCCGAGATTAAATTGTCGAAAAATCATACACTCCCGAATGAAATTTTGGAATGATTTTATTTTCACTGCATTGGGCATGGAAAGTTCAGTTATTGTACTGAATTGCCTCAATTTATGATATGACGTTTCGGAAATTTTTAAGAAATTTCTTCAGGAGCCCTCTTTCAGGAGGCCGTTGCTCCCTTAGGAGACATAGAGACATAGAGAAATAGCTTCCATTCAGAACTAAAATTCTGGTAAAAGGAAGTTGATTACAAACAACAATAATAAAATAACATAAGGTGACAACAACAAAAAATAAAAAAAATAGCAACAGGTACTAATCAGTAGATGGCAAAGTATCAATATTATCCATTTTGTAATAAAAATGTGGTTTTTTCAATGCAATTTAAAATTTTCATTATTTTATTTATTTATTTATTTCAGTTATTGCATTACATTCTCTTCTTCATTGATACATTTCATACAAATAATATATAAAGTATAATTAATTTTCTAGTAGGAATGACATGAATGATCAGACAGTAATTCCTGGTATAAGATCATTCATGAAGTATTATCGACTGTTGTATAATTGAAATTACAAATAGTGAACAAAACTCACATATCATTAAGATACAGTCATATTATAGTGAACAAGAAGGGGAAAAATAAAAACAGTGAAAAAAAGAAAAAAGAAAATCCATAGTCTTTCAGCTTTGGTCATTCCTTTGCATATAAATATATTTCTTAACTTTATTTTTGAATTGCATAATATTTGGGCTGTTTTTGATATCATCTGGTAAATTATTAAATTTCGAAATCGCCTCATGTGTAAACTTTTTTTGTCCAAGTTTAGAATTTGCAGCTTCAAGATGAAACAAGTTATATTGTCTAGTGTGATGATCATGAATTTCGGAATTCCTGATTAATATAAAATTTGATTTAAGCTTTTTGTTGATGATATAATAGGAAATTTTGAGAGTATTGATTAAAAAGTGCTCTTCCAAAGAAAATGTGTTTGTTTCCTTATACAGTTGATTCGTTGGAGTATCATATGGAAGACGATACAATACTTTCAATGCCTTTTTATATAGAACAGAAATTTTATTGAAACTATTTTTGGAACAAGATCCCCAAATATTTATGAGATAGTTAATTCGACTGAGTATATGTGAATAGAGAATAATATTTGATGTATATGTACTGAGTTTAGGACATCTTCTCAAAGCACCAATAATGGGAGATACTTTTCCTATGAGGATGTCTATAGGCTTTCCCCATGTTAATTTCTCATCAATCCAAATACCAAGGTGATTCATTGAATTTTAATGCTAGAGCAGCATTTTTTTAGCCAAGTATAGAAGTATAATGATAATGATAAAGATGGAAAGCCCTAATTCCGAGTGACAATGGAAAATGAAAAAACTCGGAATTAGAGCTTTCCATCTTTATCATTATATGTATCTTTTCGGTTGAGTAACCGACAAACATTATTACTCCTGAGTATAGAAGTAGCAAAATCAAGATGAAATAAGTTTAATTGTCTCCTGTGATACCTATGAATCTCTGAGTTTCTTATCAAAACAAAATTGGATTTCAGATTTTTGTTTATGATATTAGGTATATGAAACTTTTGGTATCAATTTTATACAATTCATCCAATGAAAATGTTTCTGTTATCACATACAGATCATTTGTTGGGATATCAAATTGAAGGCAATAGGTACAATACTTTCAGAGATCTTATAAAGTGCAGATATTTTACTGACATAACTTTTTGAACAAGATCCCCAAATGTTTATCATATAGGTAATACGACCCAGTATATGAAAATGAAGTACTATGTTTATAGTTTTTAATCATCAAGTTTAGGGCATCTTTGCAGAGCTCCAATGATTGGAGATATTTTTTGTATCAGAACCTTTATATGCTTGAAACTGTTCCCTTCTTTTTTTTGGGATGTAGAAGCCACTGGTGAAGTTTGACAGGCTAATTTCGGGACACCCTGCATATGTCAATACCCCATTGAATTTCCCAAAGAACAACTAACAACATCACTATTTACCTCTTCCTGTTGGTGGCCACACTGTTTGCACTTTTGGAGCTGTTCATCAGTAGTTCTCAGTTTTTCTTTGAGTGCCTTTATTTGATCTTCCAATGGTTCAACCAGGGACCGCAGGACTTCAGGATCTTCCTCTGCCTACAATCATTTCAGCATCAGTCAGAATTTGATTTATTTAAAAAGAATCTTACACAATTTGAATCAAACCCAACTATTCATAAACCATAGAAATCATCCATATAGACACTCAAAATGGTGACATATACAGAGAAGGGCACAAAAAACGGCCAGTGCTGTATCTTCTGATTTCGAAAATTGGTGGGTAGCAAGTATACTAAATTCTTCATTAACTGACAAAACAATTCTTGTTCAATCACTTTCGGTCTCACCAGAATCGAACCTAACTTTTGTTTTTCAAAGGGACACTCTGTATTTTATTCCATAATCGGTTAGGGATTATTATGACGACATCAACGATACCGGGTTTGATAGGGTTAATTCAAACGACTACGAAGATATTCACGTGCTAAGTTTCCATTTGCTCAATAAGTGGGACAGAGAAAGAAGTATTGATATTGCGAAGTCGCACCCATTGAGCATATGGAAACTGAGAACACAAGTATCTTCGTAATCGTTTGAAATAACCCTATCAAATCCAGTATCGTTGAATTCGTTATGATAATCCCTAACCGATTATGGAATAAAATACTCTGATAGGGCTGACAAAGAACTAATAGGCAAAATTGACAACACTTTCTCTATTCTACAGGAATGGTTTGCAAACAATGATTTGTTTCTTAATAGCAGCAAGACTTCATCAGTTAGATTCCATACGAGACAAAAACAATGCAGTGATCTGAGCTTTAGGGTGGGTGAGTCAACCCTAAACACGACTCAGGAGGTTGTTAAATTCTTAGGCGTATTTCTTGATGAATGTCATACCTGGAATAAGAACTGTGAATACATTGTGAAAAAAATTTATGTTATAAATTTTCAACTCAGGACTCTGAGAAATACCTTGAATTTAAATCAATTGTGCAGTCTCTACTTTGCCCAAGTGGACTCACGTATCCGATATGGTATATGTTTCTGGGGGTCATCTACATCAGGGAAGGATATTTTTCTGGCTCAAAAAAAGGCTGTAAGAAGTATGATGGGCATTCAGAGAATGGATTCCTGTAAGCCTTTTTTCATAAGGTTGAAGATATTAACGCTGCCCTGCCTCCTTATATTTGAATTAAGTATCTATGTATTAGTTTACAAGCAACTGTTTGCTGGCAACAGTGATAAACATGAAGTGAATACTCGCTCGAGGAACGAATTCTATATTCAACCAAGCAGAACACATATTTTGAGTAATACACCAAATATCCTAGGCCCTAGAATATTCGATAACTTAACTGAATATTTGAAAAACGCAAAAAAGTATCTTCTTTCAAAAAATGCTTGAAATCATTTCTCATAGAAAAGTGTTTCTACTCGCTTAACGAATATTTTTATAAATGACCATGTTTCTCTCTTTTATATAATGTTCGTCTATCATATTATGTAATCAGTCATTTATCTAGTTTTAGATTTATATATTTGTAACAACCTGACTATTCCTATACTTTTTTAGAAAGTCTAAAGGAAAATAAAGATATTTATTTACAGGGTGTCCTATTTAAAAATCAAAAGTTAGGGTCGTTTCCGGTGAAACCGGAATCGATAAAACAAAAATTGGTTTGTCAATTAATGAGCAATTTGGTATACTTGCTACCCACCAATTTTCAAAATCCGATTTCAAATGACCCAGAAGTTACAGCACTAGCCGTTTATTGTGCACTTCTCTGTATATTATTCAATTAAAAAACATGATAACTCAAAAATAACTTATTTCACTATAATCAGGTGTTTTTCTAACATGTTATTTGACCACAGACAGATATTTTTAACTTTTTTGTAAATGTATGATAAATTGATATTCATCATACAGAACGTGGAAAGAAATTCTGAATTGACAAAACCTAATCACAAATCTGTGATTGAAAGTCTATAAAAATAAAGTTTCCATAGCTCAAGTTTGAACCCTTTGATTGGGTGAAAGTATTAAAAAGGAATATTTTCAGATATAATTATGAACATAAAAAAATGGATATATATTTGAAGACATGCATTGAGAAAATATCAATTCTTTCTAGGTTTATTCAAGTATAAAATTGTATTTTGATGATTTTTTCAATTTTAAGTATGCTACATAAACAGAACTTATAAAATCCGTGATATTACTATTACTAAAACTTTGAGTGTGGTCATACACTATATGTGCTTCTGAAGGATTTTAACATGTCATTTAAATGTTACAGTTTTAAAAAGTTACCTTTTTAGAATTATCTTCTACACTCTCTTGGGAAGAAAAGGATTCTGCACCTAGTTTTTTCAAACTCTTAGTTAGAGCATTCAATACCTGGCTAGGAGCCAAACTACTATGATCCTAAAAAATTCCAGCATTTAATATAGCAAAAATCAATATTTTCTGTATTTCACAAACCTTCCTCCTATGCATTACTTGAAGAATATAGAGTACAATTTATAAACAATTTTAAATACACATAGATAAGCATAAGGACAGGTACTGAATTTGTTTAGAATAATGTCTGATAAACAAAAATATTTACATTTATTCACATACATAAAACATACATGAAAGGAATTTCTTTAATCAGAGTTACTTATTCCACTAATGAAAATAGTTTGCTGGAAACATATTTTGTCCTCAAAAGTCTCACCTGTGATATGTGATGTGGTGAGTGATTTTTTTCTTTCTTTATATCAATAATCTCCTTTTGCAGCTGCTGAACATAAGCCTCTAATTTTGACAATTCTGTATCATATAAGGTTCTTGTTGAATTTGATTCTTCCACAGTCTCTGAAAATGACCATAAATCACCTTCCTTTGAGACATTGTGGAATAATCTTAATTTTATATATCCAACATATCATATTCATGTACTAGCCAAGAAAATAGTTGTTTTCATCACCTTAATAATAATGAATTTATTTGTAATTAGATAATAATTTCATAACCAGGGATTCTAAATTATTTTATAAAACAGCCAACACAAACACACAAAAATTTTCATATTTTTAGGACACCAAGATAATTAATGTATGGAAGGACATGAAAAAGAAAAATAAGGAACATAAACTAAAATAATCATCACAATCTCCTTTCCTGAATTGTTAAATATTTCTTAATCTTGTTCAAAGTTCCCAAATAGCATTACTTCAACAGTGTAAATCTAAACACAATGCAAATTGTGAGAAAGCATATTATTTTCTGCATATCTAGAAGAATATGTAATGGTTCAGCAAAAAGTATAATCAAATATGCATAATTTGATCTGCTAATGTATTTCTAATAAATACTTTTGATATTTTTGAGATATTCTTAATTAGAAGTTGAATTGTTGACCACAACCCTACAATTCTATAAAAACATCAATATAGGTAATTACAAGTAGGTACTAGTTATTCATGGTCTATATTCATTTTCAACACTGATTACTTTCTATAGAAAACAAATAATACCCATTACATATTAAATAATAGTAAACAATTTAGCAGTTAGATTGGATTGATTTCAACAAATGTTGACCAAATAACTCTCTCACAAATTAAAAAACACCACTTCAAAATAAAACTTGGATGCTCTCATGTTTATTCAAAGCATTTTGTTCTGATTGCTTTGTGAATTGAAAGTTATGTTGTTTTTATCATTTAGAACAAGTCAGACAACATTCAGGGTTCCTTTTCCAAGACGAGCACAAAAGCAAGAATAACTTGTATTGTACCATGAACTATTCTCTGTAATGAGGCAATTTCTTCTTGAGCTTTCCTTTTTTCTTCCTTCAAGTTAGACTCTAATGTAATACTATCTACATATAACTGGCTTTTGCAATCATCAAGTTCATTTTTCAGTCTAGACACTTGTTCCTGTAGTTCAACATTTTCTTGGGTTATTCTAGCTAGTTCAGCTGAAAAAATTAAAATATGTGATTTTTAATGGTCTGTGAGGAGCATTCTGAAATATTTAAGCAAGCTTCAAATTGATTACCAAAATTTCCAGTAGATAAATAAGTACTAGTGAGAAATGGTATCAGATCCAAAACATTTATGAATGGCAGAAAAGATAGATTTGGATAGATTATGCCAATCACTAGAGATTAGGATGAAAATCATGCAAACTTTCCAGAATAATATTACACCAACAACTTTATAGAAGTAGTGTTTACTTCTATATGGTGCACCTACCTTCTTTCTGTAAATACAAATCTTTCAACTTTGCTCTCTGAACGTTGAATTCTTCTTGAATTTTTTTCTTCTCTGCATCCAAACCTTCTGTTTGAACTTCAAAATCTGAAATTATCTTGAAGCTTAAAAAATAAACTATGATAATATGGAATTATTACCTTTTTCATGTTCATTCTCAAGCTCAAGTACATTTTGTGCTTTACTTTTATTTTCCATCTGGTATTTTGTGATACTTCAATGATCGTTTTACCATTTCATATTATTGTAAACATAATGAATAAATTACACAATAATGCAGAAACCATAAAAAAAATTGAAAGCAGTGAAACATTAATCAGAAAAATTCTGTAGAATCAGAAATTTCAGAATGCAGATTCACTTGATCACTTGACATTCTTCATTCTTGACAACATGACAACTGAACTGAGAACCATCTGCTGACGTCTGACACAGTGGAAACTGACAACTCCAAGGCCACATTTATGCAAGACATTTATGAAAATAGTTCAGTGGAAAGATAGCCCATTTCCTGTGTTTTATGGTTTTATGTGATCTACGTTCTATGACAATTCGTGAATTTGTTTGAAAGGTTTGAATTTGAAAGTATCTGGAAATTTAAAAAAAAAACGTAACAAACAATCAAAAACAATCGTTTTTATTTATGTTTTTTTGAAGTTTATTATCGTGTAATACAATTAACAGAGATTTGTTCAGTTCATATAATAATATCATTATATAAATAAGTGGAGAAATGACTGCCAGTCTAGTTTGGGAAAACTCTTGTAAATATGGGTATTAGGGACAATCATTTATTTATTTTCTAAGCTACTTATTTACAGGGTTAGTTCCAGTTCTGACGACAGGTATTTTATTGGTATTACTATCATTCGTATTTTATTGCATTTGGTGAGTATATTAGGTTTATATACATTATTTCTTAAACCATATCAGAGTATCCATCACATGCAGTTGAAATTAAAATTTTCGGTCTCAAGTAAACCATGCTTTGTCAATATAAGGATTATTATTCTTGGACAATAAAGCACAGTATTGATTGATTGATTGAAGTATAATCGCCGAGAGGGTGTCAATTAAAAATACACATTGAACAAAGTTGGGTTCATCCAATCCAATATGCTGGAAGAATAAGTTGTGGATTGAACAAAAAACATCAAATAAAATTAATTATAGAAATCTCACATGGTGCCTTATTTTGATCTGCTCAATATAAAATTGAAAAATTTTTTGTTCATTTCCACTAAGCAAGTTGAAAGCTATGTTGATGCAATGTTGAAGCAATTACTGAAACGGACGTTCAGCAATATTGCAAAAGTGAAGTTTGATAATGTAGCATTGCAGCAATATTACATGTTGCTGTGCGTGACATTGCTGGGGCGTTACATTTATAAACTTCACTTTTGCAATATTGCTGAACGTATCCATTTCAGTAATTGCTACAACCTTGCATAAACATAGCTTCCAAATTTGTCTAGTGGGTTATGTTATGATATATGTGGCAAAATTATGAATTTCCGAACCATTTTTCATGCCAATAATGTACTCTTCTGCTTCAAAATTCCAGTTCACAGCGAAAGAAAATCCCACAATTTTATTCACTTGAGGAAAGTGGCTTGAATAAGAGAATTTCTAGAAGCTCACTCAGTAATCTGGCTTTGTTTAGGAGATTTCCTATTGGTAACAGAGAAAATCAAGATAGTATTTTCACCTCAAAAAATTTGCCAATTTTCGGTACAAAAATTCAATCAGCCCTGATGGATTCTGTAGAAGTTACCAGAAGGTAAGAATGGCTATCCTATAAGATTTCAATATCATTAACAAAATAATGCAATAAAAATCCCTCCATTTTATACTTTCATCTATTTACTATAAGTACAGGGTATAATAAACTCTGCTTTATTGGTAGTAATGATAATCAAACTTGATTTTGTGATTTTTGTGTCCAGATTTTTATTTTCATATTGACAATAATTGATTTTATCATGAGATTCTTTCAATTACAATCCTCCAGTCATGCAAAAAATAGTATATATACCTTAGATGTCAAGAGGAGTAGCAATATTGCTTCATGTGTGAAAAAACTATTGAAGAAGCTGCTGCAAACATAGTGGTAGATTTATTGCCAGAAAAATCCCGGAAAATTTTTCAGCCTAATAGAGAGTAATACCTATTATGTATACCCTGTATTACCGGTTTTGTTGGTGTAAAATCGCTTATAGGTTGTGCAAACACTGTTTTTTTATATGTACTGAATATTGTACATTATTATTGTGACTTGTCTCCCTCTGAGATTATATATATCTGCGGACGCCCCTGACTATGAGTAGAAAGCATGCGCCCTATCTTACCTTCTTTGGCTCCGTCATGCACAGCTAGTGTACTGCTTCCCCCTCTATCATCAAATAGTACTCATGCTCCTCGGCTTACACCCGATTTTTCAATTTGAAAGCCTGACAACCCCTATTCATGAACGGATTTTGCAAGGCAACCCTATACTACTGTATTAGTTATAAAATTGCCTTCATTTTGATATATTTCACGAGTGGTAAGCATATCGGTGCAATTATTACTATCAACTTGCCTGTTTGTACACGGCAACCATGTAATAGGGACCAGAAAAATATAGGCAACCTAGCTGTTCCATATTCTATATATTGTATGCTTTCCATTGGAATTTCATTCATTTGGCAAGCAAGTCGGTGAAATTAATGAAAATATATTTTTTGAAATTTTTATTTATCATAGTTATGAACATATTTTTATGGCAACCCTATAGGTACATGTTCAGAAACATATTTTATTTGATAAAATATAATTTTCAACCGGCAAGCAGATGAGTTAAGGGCGACCTTACTTGGGATCTTAGACGATAAGAAACAGGATGTCTGAGAGTAGGCTAAATGGCTTAGCCAATCTTAATATTCAAAGGGAAATTCCAGTTGACACAGACAGTGTATTAGCCATACTTACGAAGACCCAATGAAGGTTCAATTTTATTTTGTAAGACAGCTGATATACAGTGCTAGTCAAAAGTCCCCTCCCCCCCTCGTATCTTTTGAACGGGTATACTTATAATAATGGCCTTGTGACGTCATTTATGACTATTGCGTCACCTGTTATGACCAGTTGAGAAGCCTACATCCGTTCATTTCCACCCTCCAAATTTCATTATTATAAGTATACCCGTTCAAAAGATACGAGGGGGGGAGGGGACTTTTGACTAGCACTGTATAAAGATTTTGTCAAAATGAAACCTGAAATCTTATTTTATCTTGTGGGATTTTATCATTCATTACTATAGTCCCTACTGAGAACTTGCATTAAAAGAGCTAGAATACACTTGAAATAATGCCTTAAAATACTGGTTATTCTAAGGAATTTTAAAGTTTTTCGCTGGTTGACCGCCCCCCCCCCCCAAATATTTTCTCAAGCACTAGCGGGCGGTAAAATGCACTTTATCGCCCAGATTTGCGGGCGTTAAGTGGTACTTCACCGCCCGCGGGCCCATTATTGCCCACGGGCCATAAAGTGCACTTTACCGCCCGCTGTTCTCAAGTCCCTTATATCCACACATCCATGCATTTGTGGAATACCTATATTTGAACTCTCAGATGATTCTATCGTTATGATTATGATAGATGTTATTGTTCATCTGATTCCATCTTCACTATAACTTCATTCTTTAAATAGTGGCCTTCTGGCTGTCTGAAGTTTTTAGCCAAAAGATGACAATTTCAGCTTGTTTTTTTGGATGTATACCGGGTGTCAACGAATCTAATAGACAAGTCATAACTTCTAGACCATTAGGTGTATCAAAATGAGATTTATTGGTATAGGTAAATGGTATGTGAAGAGGAGAGTTTAAATTAAACTAAAATTCAACGAAAATCAAGAAAATTTCACCTTCTGCTCTTGAAGCTTATGTCACTGTCATAACCTAAGTGAGTGTTTTGTTCTCCCAAGAAGACTTGATATCGAAATAACTGCAAAATATTATGCATCATATGCCTATCCTTGGCACACTTGACAAAAGTAAATAAATTATTATGAAGTATTTTCGTCAGTATATATTTAATTTATGTTCTTATTTGTAATCCAATGGCAAATAAATTAGTATCTCTAGATTCGTCAAAATATCCTTTTTTCGGAAAGTGCTTGTCAAAAAATGGTCGCCATTTGAAAAATAATAGTTTGACAAGAAAATAATATAATTTTGCCAACTTGTCTTATTCATATCTATCATACTTGTCACTGAAACTTCGCGATTGAAATTTTCTGATATCACTTGAGGTCCTTAGATTAGTTTACTTCAAATCATGGCCACCTAGATGTGATTTCAAAAGTGACTCCGAAAAAATTAAGTAGGCATAAAAACTTTCGGAAATGTCACATTCTGATGTAGAATTGTATCAAAAATCCGAAAATGTTACAATATACAGGGTGTTCTATTTAAAAATTTAGAACCGGAGCCATTTCCGGTGAAACCGGAAGTGACCGGAAAGTGAAAAATATGTAAAAACTCTCCTCTTCACATACCATTTACCTATACTGAATTTCATTCTGATAAACCTAATGGTCTAGAAGTTATGACTTGTCTAATAGATTCGTTGACACCCGGTATACTATGTATACATATTGTTACATCTTAAGTGAAAAGTGAAAAAAGAGTTTTACTCTTACGATAATTGTGATATTCGTACGGTAATTTTAATATGTAGATAATACACATAAACATTGCGCTTCTCTTGAAAACTGAATTTATGAGTAACATATAAATTGTAGTTTGTTGAAATCTAGTCATTACTTGTGACTCGGGAAATGAACTAGTGCATAAAATTTTGTATGTATCACGTGCGTAAAATGCGTTTATAGCCTTCGGCGTGTAATGGCCTACTTTACGCCCTTGATACCCAGTAAACCATTTTGTGTTTCTGAAACGTTCCTGAAACAAACTTTGTGAAATATGAAACATTTCACCTATATACTCCGAAACATTTATGAGACATTCTAGAGACCATAAATGACCTAGGGTGTGTAATGTTTCATTGGAATGTTTCAACCCAAATCTCCATGAAACATTCAATAAAGAGTATACATAAACATCTCTGAGATATTTCACTATTGCATTTCATGAAACGTTTCACAAATAGTGTCTTCGAAACATTTCCTTATTGCACTATTTGCAACATTTCCAACATGACTTTTTTGAAACATTTTCGATACATCTCACTTTCGCTGATAATGGAACATTTCAAATATGAAACCATTTTTAGTTCATACCAAGACTACATTACCACAGCAGTTAATCACTTACTCATAATGAAAGTGAACCCTAATTAACATCATGTGTAATGTAGTCAATTGGTATTAATATAGGTATATGGAGAAAAAAGCAGGGTGAATAAAATAAAACTGCAGCATTAGTGGATTTTATATTATGAAAACTTATTAAATTATAATAAAAAACCATTTCATTTCATATTTGCCCTTTCTCTAGCTTACCTGAGACCAGATTGGCGGAACCAGGCTGCTACATATCTTTCGAACTCCACGTCCGTCACAGCAAACCTTTTGCTGACAGCACCTGAAAAAATTTTGAGATTTATTTGAATGTATTTATTTGAATTTATTGAATTTTAACCGCCTTTCTATGCAAAATAACCTGAAATTTCATATTTTTACATCAAGAGACCGGCATAACAATAATGTACAAAAAAGTTGAGGTTATTTTTGCCACTACCGCCCTACCTTCTATGTATTCAATTTTGGGCCGATTTTCATTCCATTCAATCAAGCATCGAATATTAAGTGAATGTACAGGTAAACCCACTCACCTTTTTCATATTCGTAGTTGTCATTATTAACTTTTAACATCAGCACTACCACCATCAGGCAATATCAATGGATGCTAAAAATGGCTTCACCGGAATTAGAATAACAAAACAAAGAATGGCTTCATCTTTGTGTTCACCCACTCTCTTCTCGGACTGGACAGTCGGAGCAAGTCGGAGCCGGCCGTGCTTGGTTCGGACTGTCATATTATGCCGATGTTGCCAGAGTAACCACCCGTCTTCATTGGTCACACTCAAGCATGTGATTCATTATAGCCAATAAAACGGAATCATGAACCTGGCAACGTAGAATATGATGCATTTCGAACAAATAGTAAACATATGTATTTAAACATTCCAGAGATGTTTCACGTCACGCATAACAACTGAGAAATATTTCACATACGTAAACATGGCGATGTTTCAGATGACACGTCTAGAGATTCACGTGAGACATTTCAAGCAGAGAATTTTTGTAACGAATATGAAATGTATGTAGTGACATATTTCTAAAATATTTCACATAGCATGGAGAGCCTCAGAAATTTTTCCTTTATGTTAACATTGAAATGTTTCAAAATGACGCGTCTAGAGATTCACGTGAGACATTTCAAGCAGAGATTTTTTGTAACGAATGTGAAACGTATCTATTCACATATTTCTGAAATATTTCACATAGCATGGAGAGCTTCAGAAATGTTTTCTTCCTGTTAACATTGGAATGTTTCAGATGACACATCTAGAGATTCACGTGAGACATTCCAAGCAAAGAGTTTTTGTAACGAATATGAAACGTATGCATTGACATATTTCTGAAATATTTCTGAAATATTTCACATAGCATGGAGAACTCCAGAAATGTTTCCTTTATGTTAACATTGGAATGTTTCAGATGACACGTATTAGGGAACTTTTGAAATGTTTCTGAAACGTGTTGTGTTTACTGGGTACATAAATAACTATTATTTGTTTACGCGAAAACGGTGCGGCGGACCAGAAAAATTCAACAGGTCAGTCAAATTGTGGCAAAATAAATAGGAATCTCAAAAATGATTTTCAATTTTGAAAAAAGCAAGGGCATACCATTTTCTTTAGAAACATCTCCAGTATACATCCCATACGTAGGCCACTGGTGGAAATATTAAAAAAATGTGTATCAAAAAATGCCTTTTATGTTGCTTTATAGTAGGTTCATGTCGAATTTCATGAAAATATCTAGAAATATTGAAGATATGATGAAAAAACGAATTTTTTCCCAAAATTTCAACACCTGTATAGCTCGAAAGTTAAGAGCTTCTTGGCATGTGTTCATTCGAACTTTTCTTCTTAAAATGAGCTAAAGGACCATATCCTAGGTTTTTAGCCATCAAATAAATTACACCCTGTATGTTTCTGAAATTGAGGCGATGAATAAAATAGGGTGTTCTATGAGATACGTTAAATCACAAGAAACAATTGTTTTGGAAATTTTTCGAAAAAATGTGCGCTCCCACCATAACTACATCTCTCAACTATTATTGAACGTCTGGCAACATAGCAATGTGATCTTGCCGAACGTACAATTTCAGCAAAAATTTCTGGCAAACTTTTGATGCTCAATATTTTTCAATACATTGAAAATGAGATCGATTATAAGAGCATAATATACCAATTTTCAAGTTCTTAATCCAACTAACTTCAAGTTGGAAAACTTTCAATGTGCGGCCAACATGAATCACCCTATATTAAAAAAGTTCCATTTTCCAGCTTTGATAATTTGATACTACAATTAGAGGAAAATGAACCGCCTGAAGCTCCAAGAGATGAATTGAAATCTTGTGCCAGTACAGATTCTCTAAATACATTTTATTCGGTGAGAATTTTTGATATCTTACCACAAAATTTTCAACTCGGTTTTTGCAGGTTCACACAAACTTGAGGAGGAGCAGTTTTGTCAGTGTCATATCTGACAGCAGCGATTTAGATACTGTTCTCTGTTGAATGTGTGTTTTTATTAAATTTTCACATTCTTGAAATACTCTATTTTTATATTGTTAGCATCTTTTAGTTCATATGATTTCACTGTATCCTTAAGATTTGCATGAATATCAAGAAATTTTATATTTTTAAAGTTCAGTTGAATAAAACTTATATAATATACCCTATATCGTTTATTAACAAATAATATAACACTGTATATATACAAAAATATGTAACATAGAATATTATCAACTATCAGATTTTGGTGCAAGATTTAATACAATAGCTCTACCTACTTATTTTTTTCTTCATATTACTATATTGTGTAATGAAAATATACGGTTCATTTAAATTTGTAGAATAATAACATAATTATGTTTTTCAAACACTGATTCAATATGGAAAAGGAATATTTTGATTCAATAATAATTATTCTAAATTGGTCTCTAATCACTCACATCAATACTGAATATAATAAATGAATTAATCATTATTCAAAGTTAATAAAGTTTGGCGTTTCTTTGTTCAAGTTAGAAAAATCAAAAAACCAATTGAGACAATACAACATACAAAAAAATCCAAGACATTCCTCGAACAATTCGATTCAAACCAAGCTTTTTTATAATACAGGGAAATATTTCAAATATATCCTCAATATTGCATCCCACCGACTCCCAACAATTACGTAAAAACTATCCAAAAATGTTTTGTGAACTGTGAACATCCATAACCAAAATATGTTATTATTAATGAACATTTACATTTTCAAATAAAGTTTTTTTCATAAACATCCAAGAATAATATTTACTTATGTACAGTTTTCTGAAATATGATGCCAGTTTTTCATTAGCAAAAAAGGAAATTCAATATTGAAAGTGAGTTTCTTGAAAGAATGGAATCGTCCAACAGGAATGCTCATAGTCATACATACACATAAAGTAATTATAAGCAAAAAGCATAAATTCAATCAAACTATCTGTGCTGCGTACCTCAATAGTTATACACATATATCATATTGGGTCTATTGACTTTTCTTGTTGGTAGCCTGATTGTAGCTAGGAGGATTTTCCTAAAATGCAAAATCGATTTATTGATTGATTGCCTTCATAACCCCCAGAAATATTGTTGTTGGTGATGGAGCAATATTTTTTCAAGGCAATTATACCGTTATTTATCATATGTAATACCAGAAAAGTAATAATATTGAGCGAAATTAAAGCAGCAAGCTGTAGTATATCACTCTTGGTCTCTAGAATCAATAAAAATCGGCCATTTTCACGTTTTCTTCTGTTTTACAGCCATATTTTTTGTTTACTAAAAGGCCTGTTCGTTTGTGCTTGCTCTACCTGCTAAACTTGATTTTTTTCTATGACTTTCTCTATTTACATTATGCCATGAAGAGAGACAACAATGGGAAACAAATCAACTTTAGCAAGTTCAGCAATTCAAACGAATAGGCCTTTTCATCGGACTCGCTCTACCAATACAGAAGCCGAATTAACCCACACGTGACCAACTCCTATACGGAAAACGCTATTTGACGACGACGTTAGTCATTTTGACATCGATGAAAAAGGATGCACCTTTTTTATCGCTGATAAACTGCCTTCACCATTGATCTAGTAGCATGTCAGTTTTCCTCGTAAAATTACTGATCGGTAAATGTTTTTAGTTACCAAGAAAAAGTTTTTACGGTAAAATTTTGGACGTTCAAAACGTTAATTATGTTGGAAGCCAGAATGATGGATGCAGTGTGCGCAACTCTCGCAAGCCTCTCGTTTATTGTCTCAATCATGGAATACTCATACGAATTTTTCCTGGAAATATTCGTCGACATACTGCTTGCTGCTTTAATTTCGATCATAACATTGTTCGAAAACTTTTGATAAACAATGTCATTCGGCAATATTATTAATCTCACTTGTGGTATCACATATGACTATTTCATGATTGGATGAAATGCTGATTATAACTGACGTTATAAACGTCAAAAGTTTTATCGCTGAAAAATTAGGCTGGTCGGTCACATATGGCTTCTGTATTATTAGAGCAAATCCAATGATTTTCAGTAAAAAAAAATATATCACTGTAATACAGAAACCGTGATATTGGTCGATCCTCATTGGTTCTCAAAAATAAGTGTGGAATAGTCAACAAAAATGATCCATTTCAAGTGGGCATTGATCAGATTTTCTAGGATGGATTGCGTGCAAGAACTGTCAGATGACCGACCCTGGAGGAACAACATTGAAACACAACCTCACTTTTATTATTTGTTTACAAGTGAATGAAATAGTTTTTCACAATTAATTTGGCATAGGAATAGTATTTTTCAGCTATTCTTTAATTCACTCATGCCATCACATTGTGCTGTTATACAATGCACAAAAACTGCAGCAGAAGACGAAGGAATCCTGTTGGTACATTATGATTTAAAAGTAAGTACCTACTATAGTCACTCACATATAGTTTTCATTTTTGAAATTTGGTAATTTCTCTGATTTCTCATCGGAATTCCTTCTGCAATAGGAGCTAATAGAAATACACATGAAATTTCTAAAATAATGCAAGAAGATTGGATTCATGCAATCAAACGGGAGGACTGGTCTGACATACTGACGAAATATGATCGTGTGTGTTGTAGACATTTCCAATCTATTAGCAGTATTAGCTTGTATTGCAGAAGTGGCAGAAGGAATTTTAATAAGGAATGACACATTTCATAATGATAACTGTGAGATTACTATTTATCTGAAAAATCATATTCCTTCGTCTCTCGCTGCATTTTTTGTGCATTGTACAACAGCACAATGCGAAGGCATGCTTGAATTAATGAATAGCGCAAAAAACACGATTCGTTTGCCATAATATTGTGAAAAACTATTTCAATCCTTTGATTCCTCTGTAACCAAATAAAAAAGTGAAGTTGTGTTTCAATAATTCACAGAAGAGTGAGGTCGTGTTCCAATATTTTACCTCCAGGGTCGGTCATCGTGCACGCGACCTAGTAGACATTTTATATTGTGAGGTTGACTACAAGGATGTCAAATGTCAAGTTTGAAAATCGGAGCCACTGTCTAAATTATTATATTTCTATCAGATCAATAACTGTAAATTTGTAATCATCAAAAACAAGAGCAAGAACTTCTTGGACCCTTCGTTGATCATACTATTTATGAGCTTTTTCTGTGAAAAAAGGTTATACCTACATAGTACATACAGGCAAACTATCAGGAATTGTGCATGTCATTTGAAATAAAATTGATTCCTATGATAAATTCATGATAAAATATACTTACATAATAAGCTGGAGGTGGAATATAAGCCATTTGGGGCTGATTTGGATCATAATAAGCCGATTGAGCAGCTTCAGCAGCCTTGGCATCTGGAAAGAAATAAAACAATGGGCAAGTCAAAAAATAAAAAAGAAACTAAATATTCATCTTATTTTAATGGCGAATTTTCGAACTCATTCAAACTGATTGCTGATTAGTTGGATTATTAAAATGGAACCACCAATTTTCAAAGATTCTTGAATTTTTAGTCAAGTTGAATTTATATTATTTCAAACTTTTTGGCCAACTGCCGAGAGACAGCGAAATGTTTAGAAACACTAATTTTTACAAGGGTTTTTCCGAAGTACTTTTCATCCTGTCCCTTCCTCTTTAATTTGAAGAGCCAGCGCAATTTTTTCTGATCGAAATGATCGAAAATCAAATACTATATAGGTTAATCGAGGAGGTGGTACATTCATTTTACTTGATTTTTTGGGATTTTCTCTCCTCGTTTCTATAAAATAAAAATATGCGTATTATTTCAATATATTTGTAGTGGGACAAATCAGATGAGTTGCACCTAAATGTCACTGCGTTCAACAAATTTTTCAATCAGGGAGCCTGAAAGAAAAATCCAGTAGCTTGTCAGTGACAATTTGTATGAAAAAATGTTTAATGTTTGAAGGAAAGAAATATAGATATATTGAAAAAATATCGAATTTTTACTTCTTTGGAACAAATAACCAACCGTAACAATGTTGTTAATTCTTGATGACCTCTAGTACATCCGTTTTAGTTCCTAGGAGCAAAAGTTCAACTTTAGCTCCTAGAAACTTAATGTGTTGCCTAGCAGCATATCTATTTTTGTGTCAATAATAGAAACGTCAATTCAAGAGCTAATTTTGGTATTAAAATGGACAACTTTTGTGTCGGTTGCTGAAAAATATTTTTTTCCGAAACCTGTGCGGCAAATGGTTTCCGAGATACAGCCGGCGTCCTTTCTCAGTTGAGCAAAAGCATAAGCCCTGAACCGTCTAACATTAGGGTCCCTTGATGCAAACTGACGTATTTGTCATCTTAACAGGGTACGGACAGATCCTCGTCTTCTCTCACTCTAAAGTGTTTGTGAAACAGTTCTATAGTTCCATCCCTGTTCAATTCTGGGGATAAACACTGGATTTTTGACATTTGTTGTTTTTTAGGTTATATTGAGGCCATTGGCGTATCAAATGTAATTTCCATATGGAATTCCTGATTCAACTATATCAAGATATAGATGAACAATCCTCTATAGTTCTAGAGTAAAAAGACTATTCTTAGACTGAATGAATTCTGATTTCAAGCTGAGCAGTAGTTTATTTATGAGCTGAATGAGCTGAGCCTTATCATTGAGAAATTGTGAAAACCTGGATGTGGGTATCTAAACCACTGTACTAATGTCATGCGTGCTAAATATATTTTCGGAAATCCAACTCTGTGAAGAATTTATTGAGTGACTAATATCACACGGATAGAACAATTTTACAACAATTTACACTATGTATAAAACTTCGTCTAGGACGAAAAGTAGGCTGATAAAAAGTAATACGTAAAATGTGCAGTAAAATAAAGAATAGAATATACTTCACCACCATGTTATACATATGATTTTTTCTTCTCCCTTAAATAAAAAGTAATTTTCAAATAATTTATTGATGAAAGTAACAAAGAAGTGGGTATACAGTATAACTCATAGGCGCGTTATTTTCACTCTTGCATCCTACATATTTTCAATTTGTGGTAGAGTAATAATTATATGTATAAACTAATGTGAAAAGTGCAGTTTTGAGCACTGCTCATTTGAATAACACTAGAAGTGAGATCTGGAACCAATGCAGTTTTCGTGATATTTTCATATAAAACATTATTATACAGAATTCGTACTTGGCTGATTTCAATCAATTTTATTAACTTCAGTGACCCACAATTTGGTTCGAATTTTTTTGCTATTTTGTGAGAGATTGCTGCACATACCCTTCAGCGATATTCGTAGACTTCTAAGCAAGAATGTCTCCTCCAGAATTTGCAAGTAAACTTGAATTTTCCAAGTTTGACGAAACAATCATTATCTCCAACCCCGGCAAACCCCAAATACCTTCCAGTTTTGAATAGAATCGGATCATGATTACAATACTCGTTCGTCATATGATCTTCATCAACAAGTAAAAACCCTGTACATATCATTTATTGAAATTTTGAATGATTTTCTGTAGCGCTCATGGATGTGACGTGACAGCAATGCCAGGTATGCCAGTAGAAAAAATTAAAGTTAAAATGACTTTAACGTCAATTTCCATCAAGGGACCCTATCTAACATTAAAACGTCTCCGAACTTCACCTGCCGAACTCTGGAATCCACCGGCTGCCCCGTTGGCGGATCCCTGATGGGGTCCCGGGTAGCCGGGGGCGGGATAGCCGCCCTGGGGCGGGCCGTAGCCGCCCTGAGGCTGGAAGCCGGGCGCGATGCCGGGATACGGGGGCGGTGCGTCCGTCATGAAGACGCCGCCCGCGGGCGGTTGCTGCGGGAAAACGTTAGTGGGCGGCGTCCAGCCGTAATAACCTGCCAACAGAAATGGCTACTTAGCATGCTTGTCCACCGAGTGGATTTCGCACTGACACTTCAGTCCATGCCCACTTATAGTTATTTAACCAACTAGTATTAATGAGGGCGATTAATGATCGAGATATTTTAACGTGCGAGCGAAGCGAGTGCGTTAATGTTCGAGATCATTAGTCGCCTTTTAATATACAAGACGGTTACAAAATTTTTCCGCGTCGACTATATTTCTCATTTCTCCTGCAATGAAGAAAACTTGGTTCGCCAAATCATCATCGATCCGGAAACTGCTAAGAATCACCCAGTAGCCTTATTACTGACATTAGACACATTTGACATTTGTCGAAATGATCAACATAGGAAATAAATTCCTTGTGTTAGAAAACAGGGATTAATATCGTGTCAGAAACTTGGAAAGGCGAACCCGTTGACGGAAAATCGTCGATGAAATCCATATTTTCGATTTAAATGCAGATTCCGTAAGTTTTAGCATATACAATGAATGCACGCGGTGTATGATTGGTTGCCTATAAAACAATTGTGTATTAATAGACAAATCGTTCATTAATAGGGGTCATTAATGAACGATTTCATATACATTAAACTTAGTCGTTAATACGAGGTCGACGGAAATAGTATATTATGTAACAAGTGTTATAAACGTCCTTTTAGTAACGAGTATTTTAAGCACGAGCGGAGCAGAGCGGAGCGAGTGTTTAATAAACGAGTGTCTAGAAGAATTTATAAACGCGTTACATACTTTGCTTTTTCTACGAACTCCTAAAATTACATTAACATACCTGCTATTCCTGCTAACCTACAAAATATTTCGAAAGGAATGGGAATTGAGAACATAATAGATGACACTGATGCATGCAACCAGCGAGACACGTATAAGTGATATTGGTTGTAGATGTGTCCAGTCCATTGCTTACTAACCTTTGTTTCACGTTTATTGTCATGCCCAGCGCGGAATAAATAAATTGTTCTCAAAGATGGATGCTTCATTTTTAACTTCTTGATGGAGATATGCGAGTGCCAGAACATTCCCTTCGATTTCACTTTCGTCTACATTTCGCATATATTTTTGATGAAGAATTCGATACAATACAAACGAATATTGTTGTTTGAATAATTCTGATACAAAATTCGAAAATAACAGTTGACAGTTGATACAATCGACAGGCCAGACATGTCTCAAATTACTGAAGATGTGTTTAATGAACTGTGTTGCCATGGTAATGTGTTTAAGAAATCGTGTTGCCATGGTAACGTATTTAATATTTTGAATAAATCACAGATCGCCAATCCGTGATTAATCGATCATTTAGCGTGGTACATATCCGTACGCTAAATGCCATCTTAGATATGTGAGTAGAAAAAGGTATATTAATGCTTGTACGATTTCCGCGAAATTTGCGAACAAAATGGCGGCTGAGTTGCAATATTTAAACTTTTTTACGAATTCGGATGGAATCATAACCACACAGTATGCATAAAATGTGTTGTTGGGGAATTAGGGAGTGGACAGCAGAGGCCGAAAAAAATACTAGACTAGTTTATTGAAAATAAAATATTGACACTGCCATGTATCTTCATTTTGGAAACAGTGTGTCTTATCCACAGTAAATTCATGAATGAAAATGCTAAAAAAACGAATCGTTATAACACAAGACAGGCTAGGAATTTATAGGTACCAATGCCATCTACTACTCAAATCAAAAACTCCTTCTTTTATAATGGGAAAAAATTATTCAATCATTTGCCAGACGATATCAAAATGCTGACTAATCTCAAGAAATTTAAAGGTTATGTAAGCAATATTTTGCTGGAGAGAGCTTACTACTCGTTAGATGAATTTTATTTGGAAAAATTTTAACTTTTAATTGTACCTGTCATTTTTATGCCTATATTTTTTTGTATGCACTTTCTCATTTATTCTATATATTTTTTATATAAATGTTATGTTTCTTATGTTGTGAATATATCGAAATTGTTATTTGCATATTATACATTTCTTCTGACAATAAAGTATATTTGATTTGATTTTGATTAAGACACTAGACTCCAGGTAGGTACACAAATTATAATTATAAGATTCATCATTATTGTTCATTTGATATTTTTTCCATATTGATTATTTCGACAAATGTCACTAATGCCAGTGAAAAGTTCGTTTTCAATTAGCGTCTGGGAGTAGGAATGTAGAGTGTAGTTGGCTTCATTCTTACAGGTTATGAATCTGGTAGTTTCATCATGTAAACATTGAAATTTCTCAAATAGAACTCGATCCTAAACGAGAATATCATTGAATGAATGAATCACTATCGGTCACATTTAAAATGATACTACTTCCTCATTTACTGCCATCAGGTAAAAACACAACCGACACACCCGTGGTTTGTAGGTACTATTGGACATTGCTATATTTCTGAATGCATTTCCTAACCTAACATAATTTGTTTTTATTTGTCTTCTGTCGTTCCATAATTACTTAGATTTATGCTTCATTTTGGCTGTGTTTGGGGATCAGAGGCTGAAGTGTTCAACTGTTTAAACTTTAAAGTATATTTATGGATTGCGGGCTAACTCTGATAGAGTGAAGAAACTTTTTGTTTTTGCACCACAACCTACCAAAACTAATTTATCGATGTCAATCAGATATGTTTGTATTTCCCCTCACAGTTGCAATCCGCATTAGTTTCTAGCAGAAGAATAACCTTATGTTCTTCCGTTACAAAATATTTCATTGCCAATAAAGATGTATTTTTGGTGTAAGGTGTTTCTTCATTAATTTTTTTAATTTATGAAAAAAGGGGTTTCGATATCGGTCAATGCGATAATCGGCCAAAACGAGGCTATAACCGATAGGCCGATATAAATATCGGTATCGGTCGATAACTATTATAGGGAAGCGTTGATTTTCGCATTGATTGGTCAATATTGGAAGTGATATTACACATGCTCAATATTTTGACTTATGACGTAACGTATAGGTTGAAGTTCTCTTTATGGCAAGATGATCATATCATCAAGTTTCATTTTTTGTTTGTCGTAATTTTTCATATTTTCAATGAATCCTGAGTTTGAACTAGTAATAAATGTGGAATTCAGTCATTGGAATTTGAATTAAGCCGATTAAGCCATATATTTATTTCGTCAGTAATTGGTGGTAATCAACATCACGTTCAACTCTAATAAAAGAGAATACATATTTAAGCACAAACGCTCCAAATCATTGTGATTTTTTTCGGACATGAGAATGAAAAATCACAATATTCCCATAGGATCGATAATCAGATTACAGAGATGCATTATGAGAGTTCCAGTTGAATTGAATTTTGTTGAAACACGTTCAGGTGGCTATGACCAGAGTTAAACATCTATAAACTATGAAATTCAAAACAGCTGGTTTCAATTTTTTTTTTAGATCCTAATTAATTCTTTTGAGAAAAATCTAAAAATATCCTCTGACATTTTGAATAAAAAATTAGGAACACTATTTTAGATTTAGCATTGATTCTGAAAAACATATCAATAATGATTGTACATTGTACCTATATACATTTTTACTGCAGTCATAATATTACCCAGCAATGATTTACCTTGTGGGGGTGGAGCATAAGCCGGCGGTGGAGCAGCGTACCATTGAGTTTGTGGAGGAACATAGGGTGGCGGGGCTTGCATGCCGCCTCTTGATGCTGCCAAAAGAAAACATAATTTCATCTTTCCGACCACCAACAAAATTCCAGCTAATGTGATAATATTGATGGAAATAAGTAGATGGTGCGCGTACTCTGCCATTTCTACGTATTGAAAACATAACCGCTTGTCTCTGCATCACAGGTGCAATGCGCAGCACTCCTACCGCAGCTATGGAAACCATACTCAATATTCCACCTCTTGAAATCTTCATCAAGGCGGAAGCGAGGATGGGGGCATACAGACTGGAGTGTAGCGGCAACTGGTATGCTCGGGGTGACTCCCTGGGACATACAAAAATAATCAGCTAAGTTTCAAGCCCACTAATGGATATGGGAAGGGACAAAATGCTGCCTAGAAATAACTATTACAGACCCTTCAACACTCAGCTCTACTGGGATGAAAGGGTCTTGACTAACTGTCAGGAAGGCACGTTAGTGTGGTACACTGACGGTTCTAAGACTGATGAGGGCACGGGAGCCGGAATATATGGAGATAGACCCAGAACCAGGATGTGTGCTTCCTTGGGGAGGTATGCTTCAGTATTCCAGGCAGAGGTGCATGCTATTGAGGCATGCCTGAGAGAGAATATCGTAAGAGGATACAGAGGTAAACAAATCCTCATATGCTCAGATAGTCAGGCGGCCATTCAATCTCTAACATGCAATAAAATCAGATCAAAATTGGTCTGGGATTGCCTTCAAAGCCTGCTAACCCTGGCTAACCACAACAAGGTAACTCTTCAATGGGTGCCAGGGCATAAGGGAATTGAAGGCAATGAAGCAGCTGACGCTCTTGCCCGGCAAGGGTCTGCGACGTTGTTTATGGGGCCGGAACCTGTGTTCGGTATCCCCAAAACCTCAATACGCGGCTGGCTGGCAAGGTGGATGGCATACTGGAACAATGTCCCAGGACAAAGACACAGTAAACTGATGGTTGGAACACTGTCCAAAACAGTGACTAACGACATTCTGAGCCTAAACAGAAGTCAGATCAAACAAGTGACGGGACTAATAACCGGTCACTGCCCCTTGAGGAAACATATGCATCAAATGGGCATCTATACAGACGAACCCATATGCAGACTATGCAATGAGGAGGAGGAAACTGCCACCCATGTAATATTGGAGTGCGAAGCACTAGCGCGTTGGAGATACAACCTTCTGGGAGCAGTAAACTCTCAAGAGGCATTTTCAAAGAATGATTTGGTGAAGAGGCTGCTAAACCTCACCAAGGTAGCGAACCTGTTCACCTAAGTCAACAGCATGATCAGGAATACAATAGGCCCAAAGGCTGCAGTGTTTTGGGCTTCAAACCCTGACTGATCATTCTGCTATTAATCAATCAATCAATCAATCAATCAATCAATCAATGATTTCTCTACGTTACATCGAGCGAGACGTTGATTCTACATTTTCCCGCTAGATGATGATGCTGCTATTGCTGCTGTTACGAGTGGAGATAAAATGGAAAATGGCATTTTAGGTACGCGGAACATATGTAACAGTGGGACTGAATTCGAAAAATCTGCGGCAATTTGAAAATTGACAGATGTCAATTGTGCAATGTCGCTGAAAACATTGTTCTCGGGACTCTCGAGTGGTCGAGATTAATTTCTGAAACAAAGCGCATCAGTAAGTACACCATACTTATTTCCATCATTGTGATAATACATACCATCTCCTGATACGTCATCATCAAGAGCTGCAAAATAGCTATTTGTATGACAAGTTGTAGAACAAGCGTGTTTTCTGCACTAGACTAGTCAATTCGATATCAAAAATCGAGCAGAGCGTGTGTTTCGAACGTCACGTGCAAAAAACTCGCCCTTTTGCAAAATGTTTTCATAGGAGACTACCTGAGTTTATTACCAATTTTATTTATTTATTCATTTATTGAACAAATAACTTCCAGACAGAATAGGCTCTAGTATAAAGAAGTACCTAAGGTAAACATTTCATCATTCAATATATATCAACAACAATAAATTGGCAAACAAAGAATAATATTTGTAGAAAAAACATAGTAAGCATGCTTAAGAGGAGAGATTCAACCAAATCGACATGCAGGCCTGCACTAGTTGTTGCTATTTGGGCTTATGAATGATTCAATTGAAAAACTGATTAAATCATCGTAAAGAAGAAGGTTGGGACTAGGGCCTGGTTATCATACGGAGTCGAAACTCATTTATTTATAGAAGATACAGATTTTTGAAAAACGTAAACATTGAAATTTTTTTGTCTCAAATTGAAATATTTTCGATCTCAGTACAATTGTTGGAAATTCGGCGAGGTGTCACTGAAATATCAGCTCTTGAAATGGTTCCATTCGAACAGGAAGCAACAAAAACGATTATTCTGTCAACAAAATATCCATTCATCCCAGCTGATCTCGGTAAACTCCATTTCTTGAAAGAATATAATGCAGGAATCTAGGATGTGGTAGTTCAGGCACTACCTGATAGATGGCAGTGTTCGAAATGACAGACTGCGGCAGAGAGGAATGGTGCATTGTATTGCAAGCAGATGGCGCTTAGGAGAGATGATGAATTCAAACGCGTTTACACCGTTGCCAATGTTATACATATTACTCGGACATATTATGAAATCTGGGCGACGTGATAATACAGAGGGTATTATTCAATTATCTGGGCATATTTCAAGGGGAGGTTCTCCGAGTGTTTGTAAGACGAACAAATCTAATATAATATGTATAAAACTCTCCTGTCACGGTCACGGTCATAGTGGTCGAACTCCTCCGAAACGGCTCGACCGATTCGTATGAAATTTTTTGTGCGTATTCGGTAGGCATGAGAATCGGTCGTAATCTATTTTTTAAATAGAAAATATAAAATAGCGGATCCAATATGGCGACCGAGTATAGTTATCCGATTTCATTCAAAATTGGTACTCAGGGGTTTTCGGGGTCGGAGATTATGAATATTTAGTCAAATTTTGGAAATTCAAGATGGCGGATCCAATATGGCTGACGAGCTTTGTAATTATGGTCAGATTCCATCCAAAATTGGTATCTGGGGGTTTTCGAGGTCGGAGATTATGATTTCTTCATCGAAATAAGGAAATTCAAAATGGTGGATCCAATATGGCGGACGAGTTTTGTAATTATTTTTTTTATCGCTTGGACCGCACGAAAGGAAATCCCTATGATGTTCAAAGAACATCGTGCGTTCCTAGGGAGGAAAGGGACAGGAGGTAGGTATTGGAGTTTTTTTTTGAACTTCTGGAGATTATTTGTTGTTGTGAATACTTCCTCGGGCACTGAATTCCAGAGCCTAGCCGTTCTATGGATGAAGGAGTTTTGATAAAGTGCTGTTCGACATCTTTCGAGGTGGACAACGAGAGGATGTGCTGACTGGGCTTGTCTACTTCGTCTGACTGCTGGAGGGATGATAGCCATTTCCCGTGGAAGTATCGATAGAAAAGTGAAAGGTCGCCGACCTTTCTACGGTGTTCCAATGATGTCAAAGAGTGAGTGAGTGTGGCGTCACCCACCAGGCGAATGGCTCTTCTCTGGATGGAATCTAAGAGCATCAGCCTATGTTTTGGTGCTGAACAGAACAGATTGGTCAGATATCATTCAAAATTGGTATCTGGGGGTTTTCGAGGTCAGGGATTATGATTTTTTAGCAAAATTAAGAAATTCGAAATGGCGGATCCAATATGGCGGACGAGTTTTGTAATTATGGTCAGATTCTATTCAAAATTGGTATCTGGAGGTTTTAGAGGTCGTAGATAATTATGAATCATTTGTCAAAATGGGGAAATTCAAAATGGTGGATCCAATATGGTGGAAGAGTTTTTTAATTATTATGATCAGATTCTATGTAAAATTGGTATCGGGGGGTTTTCGGAGTCGAAAATAATGATCCTTTTATCAAAATTTGGAAATCCAAGATGGCAGATTCAATATGGCTGACGAGTTTTGTAACTTAATCCGATACCATTCCAAATTTGTATATGGGGGATTTTGGGATGGGAGATTATGATTGTTCATCAAAATAAGGAAATTGAATATGGAGGATGGCAACTGAGTTCTGTAGTTATGATCCGATTCTATTCAAAATTCGTATGTGGGTGTTTTCGGGGTCGGAGAAGAATTAGAAAACAAATGAATAAAAGTATGTTGAAAATATTTAACTAAAAAAATATTTTCTGGAAATAATTGTATATAGCAGAACAACGTTTGCCGGGTATCAGCTATTGTAATAAATATTAGTTTGAAAAACTAATAAAACACCTTTTTATAGATAGCCCTACTAAAAAGAAGTGAGTAGAAAATAAAGAGTAGTTTGAAAAAATGAAGAGGTATAGAGAACCGAACTAAAAAGAACTAGAAAATAAATAGAGTAGTTTGAAACGGCCTAGATTTTGTCACTGAATTATAATTATATAAGTAGCTAGACCTGAAAATTTAAACATACAAATTCAGCAGAATTTCTTCAATTCTACTCATGAGATCGATAATTATGTCAGCATATAGATGGAAATAATAGGAATGGCACAGTTGTGTAACAAACTTCAAAAAGCTTTGTTAATCTGTGTCAAAAGTTCAGGTTATTTCACTCTAAAACTCATGCAAAAAAATTCGTCTCAGAGTACAGTTATCAGATTTTGGATCCATTGATATGGCGATGAGGCGATGTTCACAAAGGATAATACCGCCACGGCAACAAAACAAAACTGAGCGAGAATTCGTTATATGTCTCTCTCCCTCCCGCGGCGAACCGGGGGGATATTCATTGGTCGCGCGGTGATTCCCCGTCTTTCCGCAGTCGCCACGTGCCACTTTGAATTGCATGAACTTCAGATGAACTTCAAACTAACCGGGATATAATCAATAATTGAAAAGCCAGTGTTGCAAGCTGCTGCAAATGATATGTCGCAAAAATTCATAAGAATGGGCAGAAAGGCGAGGCAACGGGAAAGTCAGTCACATACGAAATATTTGAAAATATAGCAGCCGCTTTTTTTTTCGAGAC